ATATATATACATTCATGATTTCAGGCATGATGGGAAATAATTTTAATAAATTATTATAAAAAAAAATAAAAGATGATTTGGAAAAATAAAAAAATATTTAAAGAAGGAAATGGGAGCACCTAATTAATTAAATATATATCTTTTCATGAAATATTTATATAAAATATGGATGAAAAAAATTCAATGCATACATTATATTCCAAATTCGGGAATATGAAGGAAATATCGAAGGAGAAGAAAATATAGTATTTTAATTATCTTTCATCAAATAGAAATTTAAGAATCTCTTTATTATATTGATTTTTTTTTTTTTAGGATAACGCCTTCGAAATTGAAGATAGTAAGATATTTCATTTTTCCGTTTTTAGCGAGTTGGAATCATTAAATTTTTGAGATATCAAATTCATTGTATTATATTAAAAATTTGTGAAGAAGAAATATTTATTTGTTTTGATTTGGATTTTTAAATTCCGGATATTGAAATATATTTCAAAATTTCATATAATGATTTTTTTAGAAATGATGAAAGGCATTCAAATATCAAAATTAATTCGGTCACAAATCGTCTTGTCCTTTGTCTTCTTGTTGCTTCTACTTGCGAATGCATGGATGAGAATATGCCAAAGGTTGCAAGTGGGCGGTCGGTTCTCCTGCATTTACTTCTGATCCTGCTAGAGACCCGGCAACAAAGGCAATGGCAGCCCTGTGAGCTTCGCGCGCACCGGGTCTCAGGCGGGATCAGTCGGGACGGCACTCGCAGTTGGTCGCTTGGTGATAAGCCGCATGATCCCTGGAAGCTTGCACAGACCTCTTTCCCACAACGCCTTCGTAGAAGTTACTCTCATGCCTTTGCGCCTTCGGGAGAGTAACTTCGCGGCCTGGGATCGAGAGCGCCCTCCGTGGCCGTCTGTGTTCGCCGAAGGGGTGAAGGTGATTAAGTCCAAGGGCGAGTGGGCTTGTGCTGTCTTTTGCGGGAGAATCTGCCCCCACTCTCTGCGGCCTGGCTTTCCACATTCTCATCCATGCTTGTTGGTTGTTTGTTTGTTTGTTTGTCTGTTTGCTTGCTTGCTTGCTTTGCTTTCCTGTTTGTTGTTCGTTGTTTGTGTTGTCTGTCTTTTTGTTTGTCCATTATCGGTTGTTGTTGTTGTTGTTGATGATGTTCTTTTGATTATTTTGTTGTTGTTGTTGTTGGTGGTGGTGGTGGTGGTTGTTGTTGGTTGTCGGTTGTTGTGGTTGTTGTGGTTGCTGTGGTTGTTGATGGTGATTATTTGTTTTTGAATTTGTTTTTTTGTTGTTGTTGTTGTTCTTGTTCTTGTTCTTGTTGATGTTGTTGTTGTTGGTTGTTTGTTGATTGTTGTTTGTTGTTGTTTGTTGTTTTTTGTTGTTCTTTGTTGTTCGTTGTTGTTCTTTGTTGTGTTGTTTGTTGTGTTGTTTGTTGTGTTGTTTGTTGTTGTTGTTTGTTGTTTTTTGTTGTTCTTTTTTGTTCGTTGTTGTTCTTTGTTGTGTTTTTGTTGTGTTGTTTGTTGTGTTGTTTGTTGCGTTGTTTGTTGTTTGTTGTTTGTTTGTTGTTTGTTGTTGTTGTGGTGTTGTGGTATTGGTATTGGTGTTATTGGTATTGTTGTTGTTTGTTGGTTGTTATTGTGGTATTGATATTGGTGTTATTGGTATTGTTGTTGTTGCTATTGTTGTTGTGGTTGTTATTGTGGCTGTGTGTTTTTGATTTGTAAATTTGGATGTTTAGACAAAATTGCGATTACCATATTTGCGCCTTTTGTCGTTGTTTTGTTTGTGGTGTTTTTGTCGTTTTGGTGATTGTTATTTGTTTTTTATAATATTATTTGTTTGATATATATATGTAAAATATTATCTGATTGTCGCAATACCATTTATTTTCAAAAATTATTTGAATTATATTTTAATGATTTTGAAACCACCTTTACTTAATTTCCTCGTGTTTTCAAAAAAATATTAATAATGGCGGCATTTTGAATTGATTATTTAAATACATATGTTTTTTTATTGCAATTACAAAAATTATAAAAGCTAGAGTTGCTCTAGGGTTCAGGGTTTAGGGTTTAGGTTTAGGGTTTAGGGTTTAGGGTTTTCGTGGAAATCCCACACCCAAGCGCAACCAACAAGAGGGGAGGGAAGCGACCTGAACCGAAAGACAGAAGACCAACGGGGCACAGCACGCGCACAAAACAGCAGTTCTTATTTAATGACTTAATCCTTTCACGATCACTAAGTGACTCTGCTCTCCAGGCCCTTTTACCACACACACACACGAAGGAAAACAAAGGTCGTGTCCTGTCTTCGCAGCTTCTGCTTGTTGTTTTGGAACCGTCTTGGAGCCAAAACATCACGCGGTGAAAACTTCTGACTGTGAATCACCAAAAATGTGATTCCGCTCCTCAAAAACCAAAAACTTTGTTTAGGTTGAGGTTTGAAAATAAAGTTGGTTCCTATGGTTGGAAAAACTCCTACCAGTCCTAGAAACTTCGGCATCACTATCTAAGTCCTAAAAAACCCTTAGATTGAGGTTCCCTAGAGAAACTGTACACTCAAACGTCTCTCAGATCCTCGTGAAGCCAAACTTCTGGTTGGTGGCATGTCTCCTCAGGCATGCCACCCAAACTGCTGATGCCTTCCGGCATTCTCAAACTTTCTCAAAACGGTGTGTGGCAAATCTCCTTTGGCAGTCGTAGAACTCATCACCAAAGGTTGCTGTAAAGGCCAAAAGCTAGACCTTCGTCTAGCAGCCTCAGTCAGTGCCACCTCCTTGAAGGCACTGACGAAGAAACTTGAATTCCTCTTCCGTTCAAAGGCTTCGCTTTGACATCTTCAAAAGGGTTGCATCCTCAGTCAGCGTCCTCCCTCGAAGGCGTTGACAAGGAAACTTGAAGGCACGGAGTGCCTGACACCCTCACTTGCACCACAGGGCTAATGCCATCCTCTCGAAGGCATCCATAGCACGCACCAACGAAGACGGTGCCATAGTGCATGAAACCATCACTGCACTTCTGAGACTTGTGTCGTCTCAGAAGTGCACATCCACAATCACTTCTGAGACTTGTGTCGTCTCTGAAGGTCAAAACCACTTCTGAGACATGTGTCGTCCCAGAAGGACACATTCCGCATTCACTTCTGAGACTTGTGTCGTCTCTGAAGGTCAACCACTTCTGAGACTTGTGTCGTCCCAGAAGGCCACATTCCACATCACAAAGGCATATGTTGCCTTGTGATCTCCTCACATGCAAAAGGCGCACTCTCATGATGCGCGGGCATCCAGTGAAACCCACTGTCACCTGCAGTGCTTTGGGCACCCACGACCCTTATATTCCACGCCCACCTTTGACCAAAGCAGCGAAAGGTGGTTGGAAGACCCACTGACTCCCCAGTGGTCCACCATTTCACATGCCAGGGCCCTCATAGTCAAGGCCTTCATAGTTGGCCGCCATGGTTGCCATGGCCTTGTAGGCCACCATGGCTTTGGGCGAGTCCAAGCCCTTGGGCTAGTTCTTGAACTCGCGGCGATAGCCGCAGTCGCGGCCAGCGCCCTCAAGGCTTTCCAACTCCTCAGAGTACGAACTCGCCTCCAGGAAGAGTGCCAGGTCAGTGGCCTGGTTTCTCGGCTGAGAAGCCAGAACCCGGACCCCATTCCTCTCCTCACAGGCCAGCGTGGATGCCGTCGCGTATGATGCGTGGATCCACTTCAGGTACTTCTGGCATTCGGCGTTTCCACGCCCCAATTCCAGCAGTTCGTCAAAGCTCAGACGAGACCGACGGTATTTCGGCATGGTGCATACCGTCTTGCCCCACTGGCGGAAGTTGCGGATGCCCGCAGGGAGCGGGACCGCCTTGTTGCGGTATTCTGGCCGCCAGCTCTCTGAGAGTAACACCAGAGATGGGCTGCTGTCACCCTGTGCCGAGTCAGACTCAGGCTGTGTATGTGACGGACATCTCCTTTTCGGCTGGTGGTGTCGGTGGTGGCACCTCTCCCTTCTTTCTGTTGCGACCCTTGCTTCCGGCTGCAGGGCACTTCGACGAAGACATGGCGTCACCCCGTGAACCGCGGCCCGTGTCCCTAGGTAAAAAGTACACCAACTCTTACTGGGCCAGAGCGCTTCATCACGAAGCTGACTGTGGCAAGATCAGCCACTGCAAAGAAACTGACTGTCCGTGGACGGCCGGCCAAAACACCGGAGAACCTCCCACAAACAAAACCAAAAAGCAAATGCACCCAGCACAGACCTATGAGAAACCTTGACAACCTCGCGTTGTTCGCAGGGGTGTATGTCTGTGCGCGCATGCACTGCAAAGTTGAAACTGAATCCACACAACTTCAATGCAAACTTTGGCATCTGATTCAGTTGGTTTCCAAAAAAAACAAGACATGACATGAAAACTGGCCGTCTCGCGTTTGTCTGTCCTTCTGCAAGTTTCTGAAAAAGATTCACAACTGACATGACTGAAACATGGCATGAGAGGTTGGCCGTTTCACGTTTGTCTGTTTGTCCAAAGGTTCACAAGACACTCACAAATGAAATGGAGATGACCTGAAACCAAAACATCAAAAGGTGGTCGTTTCGCGTTTGTCTGTTTGTCCAAGGTTCACACCACAACAAACTGACCTAAAAATGAAACGTCCTGGCATCCAAAATGAAAACTGAGTCATGGAAATGCTTTGACATCGGCTTTTCGCACCCGTCTACCTTTGAACATCTCCATCGCTGATATGTCTTTGACATTCAGCCAAAACCAAAATGACAATGAGGAAGCCGTAAGGGACATCCTGAAAGGGTCTCTCTTATGGCTTTCCCATCCACAGTTCCAAAACGCATGAGAGAAGCGGTGAGGGACATTTTTGGAAAAAGGTCTCTCACACCTCCCTCACACACAACACCGCAGCTCGTCAGGCTGCGTCTCTCCCATAGCTTTTCTCAAGTCCAGCAATGAACTCTTCTGCAAGGCACCTGTTGTAGAAAGCTGTCCGCCTCCATGTCACGTAGTTGAAATTGGCATGCCCTCGCAAGCACTTGCATGTGCCAAACTTGTCATGGAGGTGGCTGGCAAGCTCAGGTAGGCTTGTAGAGAACTTCAGTCTCTTCCCAATGAAGTTATCATCCGTTCCCTGAAGTCCTGTCTGACACAAATGCACCACAGCTGTCCAGTCATGACTGAACTTTTCTAACGTTCTCTTCACAAACCATCGTTTCGAAATGTCATTGATGAGGGGAAGCTCGAACGAAGTAGACTGACCCAAGGGCATGCAAGAGGTGGCTCCCTTAATGTGGCTATCCCAAGCTGCGTCAAGTTCCGTAGGGGCATCCAATGCGAACCTCCGCAACGGCGATCCAGAGCTGCACAAGGTGGACAAATGAACGTGGAGATTCACCTTCAGTCCTTGTACCCACCTTTTCGCCTCATCCAGAATGGATTTCATCTCAACGCCTGCAGTGATTCCTCGATAAGGAATTCCCTTTTCCAAGCAAACCATTCGCAACATCGATTTCTCCTCACAACATACCTCCAGCAAAGCAAAGCCTTTCCACCTGGGCTTAGGTTTAACCAACGATAACAAGGCAACCGCCATGGGCTTCTGGACGAATCCCATGACCTGGCGCAACTCCATGAATCTATTGGTTTGGAGGCACTTGGTCAACAGGTCAGCCACCAAAAAGTCTCCTCGAAGGTGGTGGAGCACCGCATACTTGTTCCCAACAAGCTCTCGAAGCCACTCGATCTTGATATCGATGTGCCTGGATCGACGAGGCAGATCCATGGCTTTGACCAGCTTCAAGGCACTCTCACTGTCAGAATAGATGCGGGCAACCGCAAACTCACCTTCCTTCAAAAGACCAAGAGCCCGCATGATCCTGGTGACCAAACGGGAAAGGACCACCGCTTCCTGCACCACCATCTGAATCGCCTGCAACTCACTCTCGCAACTGCTGAGGCTGATGGAAGTCTGGTGGCGGGAGTAAGTTTTAACAACTCCTCCCAGATAGGTCAGCACACCACCGCTGACACCTCTGCGATTTCGGGTCGATGGTGCATGGGATGCATCTGTGTAAGCCACGACCTCACGGAAGTTTGTACTCCCAAGACCATGCTCAGACGGCAAGCGAAGCGAAACGCTTTCATCTGTCACCAGAAAGCGGAGAAGGGCACGCAACGCCTTTTCAGAGGCTTGTGTCGGCGATGCTTGCACAGTTCCAAGCAACGCCACAAAATGTTTTAGATCTTGCCGCGTCTGACTCATCCAGGCTATCTTGCCTAAAGTCGACCTGAATCGAGCATAGGCCTCTCCACTGAGAGCTGGAGAGTTTGTCGACTCATTGTCGAGGATTGAAAGCACGTTGGGACAGGGAACTCGTTTGCCACCAGGCTGAGGTTTCAAGCCCCATTGCTCGAAGGTCTTCTCCAGATAGCTATCTGGGAGATGCACGTAGAGCGCACTCTCGCCTGGCAACCTCACAATCTCGCGTCCCAAGAAAGTCACCTGCCCACCTTCACGTTCAATTGTTCCTGTATGTTTCACCTTCAGCTTCTTCTGCAAACAACTCATGATGAGTTTAAAATCATCCTCATGCTCACATGCCACTGCCAAGTCGTCCACATAGACAATCACCATGCCCATGCGGCCAGAAGGTAAACGTCCAGCCATGAAGCAAGGCTCAGCTCCGTCTGTGTGGAGCCCAATACCGCTCAGTTGCTGTTGCAGGAACAACAGCCATTCCAAACTCGCTGATCGAAGCCCATTCAGAGCATTGGCACAGTGCAGAATGACCGGCTCCCCAGAAAGCGTGGAGCATGACATGGGAAGCTTCACTGCGACATTGCGGCAACGAAGGGGAGTATACATAAAAGCATGGGATATATCAAGAGTATAAACCAGAAAGTTCCAAGCTGAGGCTATGGTCAAAAACAACTGAAACGCATCGGCTCCCAAAGTGGGTGACGAAATCCCCAAAGAACGGGCTGAGTCCTTGTTTTTTACATCTTTCACAACCATTCTCGAGCGGACGTCATCGCCCTTGGCGTTGGTAACCCAATGTGTGCTGATGAGCCGAATAGGATGGTCGGTGCGGGCTTTCAATTTCTCAAACTCAGCGGCTGTGTAACAGTCTCCAGCTTTGCACTCCTCAAGACCCTCAATTTCTTTCTTCATTCCAAGGTGACATTTCTTCCCATCTAAGATTTCCCCAGTTGTGTCATCAACCGCATCCACAGGGCACCAAATTTTAATCGGCATCCCACCCATCTCAACTACGGTCGACTCAGGAACTGACCCTGATGGCCCAAAGCGCACACTGGAAACAGCTTCTGACTCTGACACGCAAGACAGGCTTGGAGGTTGTGACACAATCGAACACAAGTTCATGTATGGAAAAACCCAATGCTGTGACTCACATTGGATGGCTGAAACATCATCCCTTTTAATCTCATCTTCCAATTCCTTCAAATCCATGTCTGCGGGTCTCTTGAGAGCCGTGCCACGTGGTGTGGCTCTCGCAGCTGGAGCTGGGAACGCCCCTTCAAGATCAGGAGACTTTCCATAAAACCTTCTCTTGACAGGTCTTTCAGGAAGATCCCCATAATCATCCGCATTCAAACGCTTGTCTCTTCTGATGTCTTCTTCTTCATCTTCTGATCCTAGGTCTTGTTCTTTCTCATCTGCAAACCCTTCAGTTGGCTCATACTCCAATGACTGGTTGTCATCATCAAACCTAACTGACTGTCGGGCCTCTGGTTCCTTTCTGGCATCTGTTGATGGCTCAAAAGGTTCATCCAAAACCCCAAGTTCAACAGGTTCAGATGGCTGTTCCAAGGATCCATCTCCTAAACCTGAATGACCTGTTGCCTGGTCTCTCAAAAACTTCTCATATCGCAAGCAACATGGACGTGAGTGGACCAGACCCTTACGAGTCCCTTTGTCTCTGAGTCCACGACAGGCTATGCAGTCCTCTGTGAACCCACCTTCTCCCCGAATCCAATCCACTGGCGGCCCTGAAGCCGGACACTGAAGTGATGGCTTGGCCGACGGAAGGACCTGTTCAGGTGTAGGTTCACTTGACCTGCCATGTTCATGTTCCCTAACCGCCAGTGGGTGCAAGTCTTGATAGAACTTCTGAGACCATGAGATTGGCATGATATGCTTAATGCTCTTTGCATTGAATCTCACATACCGAATTTCACCATGACTCGCAAGTTCACCAATGACTTCACATCCAACTGAGTTCCGGACTGGCGACAAGTAGACTGCATCCACAAACCTTGATGCCATTGGGTACCTTTCCCTGATGCTGTCAGGGATCTCTGCCAAGACCTTTGCAAGGAAAGGTGCGAAAGTTGGCTCCCTTAGTTTTGTTCCTGTCGCAAGTTCCTTGGGGGTCCTATCACTTCCATGAGCATGTGAAAACAGGTTTTGCGAATGACAAATGTATCTCAAAACATCTGACAAAGACTGAACTGTCATGGCAAGAGTCATGTGTTGTTCGGCTAACTCAGACTGAATGAGAGCTAGTCCCTCCTTGATAGTCCGAACTGTCCTCTCTGCAGCCCCTATGAAGTCGTGATTCTGGGGTGAAGCCTTCTCCACCATCCATTGGTGCCCCTGTGACGCCCCTGTGATGAAGGAAGCCACAGCTGGCTCTGCATCCGTTGTCAACTGAATGGAAACACCGCCAGTTGAAGACACTCCCATTTCTTGCAACCACTTGCAAAACACGTTACGGTCACGTGCAACATCACTGGTCATGACTACAGCACCTATGGAACTGGTGGATCTCTCATGTAAGGCCAACACCTTGAAGTCTCCAAGGTACAAGAAATCGGCAGCCAATGCCACCTGAAGACGGTCGTCCTTTGATCTCCTCCGGTGTTGTTTGATTCCCTTAGCTTTGACACAATGACTGCACCATGCAGCGAACGGGACATGACCTCGCAACCTGTGACTGGCCATTTCTGCTTCCGTCAATTTTCCCGTTTGCACAGCCTCTACGCCTACCTCAGGCTCATGTCCTACCATGGCCATGTTATGTACGATTGGG